TTCGGGCCAATAGGTCGTATAAACACTTTCCCAGGGAATTTGAAATCTCCATCCATGTTTCAGGTGATTCTGGGTCATTTGAGCTCATCTTTTTGAAACAAAATTTTTGATTTTTTATACAAGGAATTCAAAAATTTTTGAGTTCGGGCCAATAGGTCGTATAAACACTTTCCCAGGGAATTTGAAATCTCCATCCATGTTTCAGGTGATTCTGGGTCATTTGAGCTCATCTTTTTGAAACAAAATTTTTGATTTTTTATACAAGGAATTCAAAAATTTTTGAGTTCGGGCCAATAGGTCGTATAAACACTTTCCCAAGGAATATGAAATCTCCACGTTTTGCATGATTCTGAGTCATCTGAGCCCAATTTTACAAGACAATTTTTTTTATTTTTTTATCCGTCATTTATCAATTTTTCAAAAATTTAAGCCAAAAGGTCGTATAAACATCCCCTCGGAGAAGAGTAAATCTTCACGTTACTGATGGTTCTGAGTCATCTGAGCGTAACTTTTTAAGACAAATTTTTTGCTGTCAAATCTCAAAACTGATAGTCGATTCGGGGATTTGTCCAAATTGAGCCAAAAGATTGTATAAACTATTCCTGTGGGAGTAGAAAATCTCCAAGTTTCAGATGAGTGACTCATTTCGATGTAACTTTTTCAGACATATTTTTTGGTTTACACAGAGGGAATTGAGTTTTTTTTACGAAAACAGCGTATTCCCTTTTTTTGAGGGATTAATAAATATTCATGCTTAGATACGATCACTGGATTAAAATTTTTTTAAAATCTAATTCTTTTCAAGCAGATCAAAACGATGTTCCGAAAAATTAGGTTCAAATGACCAAGAAATATCTGAAACGTGGAAATTTATTATTCCTTGCGAAAGTATTTATTATTTATTATTCCCTATACGCCCGGTTTATATGAATTTTCAAAAAATTTAAAAATTCCCTGTAAAAAAATTAAATAATCTGTTTCGTAAAATTGGGCTCAGATGACTCAGAACCATTCAGCACGCGGAGATTTCGAATTCCCTGGAAAACTGTTCATTCAACCTTTCGGTTCAAATTTCAAGAAAAATTGAAAAAATTACGCATACAAAAATGAAAAAATTGGTCTCGTAAAATTGGACTGAGATGGTTCAGAATCATCCAAAACGTGGAGATTTAATATCCCCTGAGAAACTGCTTATACGACCTTTTGGTCCACATTGTCAAAAAATTAAAAAAAATTACCTGTAAAAAAATGAAAAAATTCAACACATGGCTCAGAATGACTCAGATGACTCAGAATAATCCAAAACATGGAGATTTCATTTTTCCTGGGAAAGTGTTTATATGACCATTTGGCTCGAATTTTCAATAATTTTTTAGTCCTTGTAAAAATTGAAAATTTGGTTTCGAAAAGATAGGCTCAGATGACTCAGAATCATCTGAAAGGTGGAGATTTCATATCCCCTGGGAAAGTGTTTATACAACCTTTTGGCACAAATTTCCGAGAAAATGAAAAAGAAATGTTTATACGACGTATTAGCGCAAATCACCCGATATAAGAGTTAATATCCAAGCTTCAGAATTTAAAGGTCACAAATGTCGAATTCTAAGGGTCATAGGGGTCGAAATCTAAGAATCGTAAGGGTAAAAATACAAGGGTCTGAATACCGAAGTCAAAATCCAAAGTTAAAAATTTAAGGACCACAAGGGTAAAAATCTAAGGATCATAAGGGTAAAAATATAAGGATCTGAATATAAGGGTCGAATTATAAGGCTTCCAATTTAAGGGTCACAAGGGTCAAAATTTGGGAGTCATAAGGGTCAAAATAAAGGGATCTGAATATCAAACCCAAAATCGAAAGTTCAAAATTGTAGGGTCGCAAGGGCAAAAATTTGAGGGTCATGAGAGTCAAACGACAATTGTCTGAATATAAGGGTCAAATTTTAATGTTTCAAATTTAAGGATCACAAGGGCGAAATTCTAAGGGTCATGAGCGTCAAAGTACAAGGGCTTGAATATAAAGGTCAAAATCCAAGGTTTCGATTGTAAGGGTTACAAGGGTCAAAACGTAAGCATCTGAATACAAGAGTTAAAATGTAAGGTTCAAAATTGAAGGGTCACAAGGGTTAAAATCCATGGTTCAAAATTTAAGGGTCACAAAGGTGAAAAACTAGCGGTCAAATCTACGGTTCAAAATCTAAGGGTCACAAGGGTCAAATGGATGGGTCAAAATTAATGGTTTATCTTGAAGTAATTAGTATTAATTAAGGAAAGGTAAACGAAGATTCAAATAACAAANCTCCCTTCAGGTTCTGTTCTGAGAATTTTCTTCATGATTTTTTCTGAGCACTCTGGTACTTCCATGGAAATCTTCTCATGTAAAATCCCATTCAAATATGCAGTAGTCACGTCGAATTGTTTTATTTCCAGTTCATATTGTGCTGCAATTGACGTGATCATTCGTATGGAATTTTGTCGTGCCACTGGAGCGAAGGTCTTGTTGTAGTCTATGCCGGGACGTTGAGTGAAACCCCTTGCTACAATTCTCGCCTTCTTCTCCTCCAAAGTTCCATCAGCATTGTATTTGTTTCTCAGGATAATACGACTTCCTACAATTTTTGCTTTTGCTGGCCGATCGACTAAGTTCCAAGTATCATTCCTGATGATGGATTTCATTTCTGATGCCATTGCCTCCAGCCATTCCTCTGAGTCTTGTCCCTTCAATGGCTCTTTCAGTGGGATTTCTGCGAGTCCTGCAATCTCATCTGCTTGCCCACCAACTTCTTCAGCAGCCTCCACGAGATGATAATTCAGCCTCGGTCTTCCCCTGAGTCCAGTGACTATTTTACCAGGTCTTCCCCTTCCTCTCTTCATTTGTGGAACTGGCTCATGATTTTGTTGAACGTCAACGCCGGGTCCAGGTTCAACATGACGATTCCCAGGTTCAACTCTGCCATTCAGATCTTCACCATCATGGTCTGAATCACGTTGAATCTCTTCCTCGTAGTCATTTTCCTCTTCAGCGTCAAACCAGTCATCGAGCTCTTCCTCATCCCTGGTAATAGTTTCTCTTGTAACAGGATTCATCTTGAATTCAACGTCTTTTCCCTCTCGATTCTCCTTGGATCCCCCAGCAGCATCAGTAGTTTTTGGATTCATCCTCGAATTGATTCTGGACTCGTTCACGAATTTCACATCTCTCGTCACATCAATTCGTCTCTCCTCAGGAATCCACTCTGTATGCCTTGGACTTCTCCGAGTATCCAACAAAGATCCCCTTTGTAGATCGAGCATCAAATTTTCCAGGGTTCTGCTCCCTCATGCGAGTGTAGATGTTGCAACCAAATTCACGGAAGTAGGACACATTTGGTATTTTTCCAGTCCACAGTTCATGTGCAGTTCTCCCATCCAATGCTCTCGAAAGATATCGATTTCGTGTGTGGTTGGCAGTATTGATGGCTTCAGCCCAGAATGATAATGATAAACCCGACTGGATCAGCATACACCTGGCCATTTCAACTAAAGTGCGATTTTTTCTCTCAGCCAGCCCATTCTGCTCTGGTGTATGCGTCACAGTCAGTCTTCTTCCAATCCCATTCTCCTTCAGGAAGTGATCAAAAGCATTATTGACATACTCCTTGCCATTAACAGATTGTAGATATTTTATTCTCTTTCCAGTCTGATTCTCAGCGAGAGTATTGTATTCTCTGAAAGCGTTAAAAACTTCACTCTTCGATTTTATCAGACGTACCTCACACCATCCAGAGTACTCATCGATAAAAGTTACGAAGTATTTAGCCTTCCCATTTGATTCAATTCTCGCAGGTCCCCAGACGTCTGTATGAATAATCTCCAATAATTTAGATGATTTTCCTCCTTTCGTTGGAAATTGAGATTTTGTCATCTTCCTCTGAATGCAAACTTCACAGTCTAGATCTTCTTTTGATCCTCCAAGTTCAAGTCCCTTTATTTTTCCTTTCCTGTGACCCTCTTGAAGATCCCTGTAGTTCAGGTGGCCCATTCTCCTGTGCCATATCTCTTTCGTATTCAATCTGGATGCATTCGCTTCAGCACTCTCGACAGAATTGCATTCATCAGTCTTCTCCTTGATCAAATATAGGTCATTTGATCTTTCAGCTTTGAGAATTACCTTTTCATCCTTATTGACAATTGTGGCGGAATGATCATCAAAAATTACTTTAAATCCCTGATCTGTGATTTTCCCAACTGATAATAAGTTCATTCTCAAATCAGGAATATATCCCACATTTCTCAGATTCACATTTTTGATATTCCCATCCAACTCAGATGTCAGCTTCACAGTGCCCTTTCCAACAATTTCCGTCGACACATCACTGGCTAGGTTTAATTTTCCACAATTCTTCTTATTTAATTCAATGAAATTCTCTTCATTCTTGCCTAAGTGTGAGGTGCAGCCACTGTCCAAGCACCACTCACTCCTGTTATCCAACGAGACTCCTCCCCACGCTGTTTCCTCTACCGATTCTTCACTGCTGGCATAAAAACTCTGTTTCTGCATTATTGACTTTATCCGAGTCTTTCTCCTTCTCGGTACAATTGACAACCATGTGTCCCTTCTTGTGACAACGGTGACATCGATATGGAAACTTCTTCTTCTCTCCTGAATTTTTATTCTTCTCGTTGGATTTCTTCTTCGCTTACATAGCATCCTGAGTTGCACTCTGTGACTCACATTTCTTCCCATCATTGATTGCCATGATCTTCACACGTAAATCCTCTGGTTCAGGTAGTATATCTCGAGATTCCATTGTACAACGAAAGACTTCATAACTCTGTGGAAAACATTGTAATGACTTTATCACCAATTCTTTATTCACCTCGATTTCCATTTCTTGTAATTTATCGATGACATCAAAGAAATTATTCAGGTGATCTCGGACATCTCTCCCTTCTTCCAGTTTCATTACTGCGAGCTTTTTCAATAACGTTGACTTCCTCTGTAGTCCCTTCGACTGGTAGATTCAGTTGTCCCAATTCAGCTTGTCCCACATCATTTTCGATGTTGTACAGCCCTTAACTAATTTCACTTCAGACGGGCTGATATTCAGAATGATGTCCGATCTGGCTTTTCTATCATTTCTCTCCCATTCTGTTGCCCTTTGCTGTGATGCCGCATCGTCAGCTCTCACTTCAGGCTTCACAATTTCTCCAGACACATACCTCCATTCATCATATTTTACGAGTAATGCTTCTACCTGGATTTTCCATGTGTCATAATTCTCACACCCCGCCGCCCGAAAGTGAGAAAACAATAATCATCATTATTATTTGGCTCTATAATCCCTTCCGCCCTCTCCCCCTCCGCCCCCCTGCTCCAAAGAGCAGAAAAAAATTATCAATAATTATTATCATTATTTTTTGCCTCTAACCCCTTCCACCTCCCTCCCCCACACCCCGCCGCCCCGAAAAAGAAAAAACAATTATTATCATTATTTTGTGGCTCCATAACCCTTTCGTCCCCTCCCCCTCCGCCACTGTGCTCCAAAAAGGTGAAAAAAATTATCAACAATTTTTATGATTATTATTTGACTCTAACCCCTTTCACCCCCTCCCCCACACCCCGCCGCCCTGAAAATGAGAAAAACAATTATTATCATTATTTTTTGGCTCCATAACCACTTCATCCCCTTCCCTTCCACCTCTCTTCTCCACAAAAGGGAAAAAAATGATTAACAATTTTTATGATTATTATTTGACTCTAACCTCTTCCACCCCCTCCCCCACACCCCGTCGCCCCAAAAGTGAGAAAACAATAATTATCATTATTATTTGGCTCTATAATCACTTCCGCCCTCTCCCCCTCCGCCACCCTGCTCCAAAGAGCAAAAAAAAGATCAATAATTATTATCATTATTTTTTGCCTCTAACCCCTTCC